CTCCGTGTGATATTACTTCAACTTCAACTAATTGGGATAACCAAATTATCACGCGTATTTTTTTGGGTAAAAAGAATTGGGACTTTTGCCAGTGCTCCTTCATTCTTTTATGAATTATTAACGATATAGTGCGTCGTCGCGTGACAATGCTCCAAGTGGCAACGATGTTTGGTTGAATGAACTTTTGCGCACTTTGCAACTTAATGTGTACCGATACTGTTGGAGCGTAGAATACAGCACGTCCAGTTGTTTCGGAGCGATTCGTAGCTGAGAATAAACACGCCGCGTCGTGCGAAAGAAAACGTCGCGGCTTCGCGGCGGGATTTAACGTTAGTCGGGTATTCCAGAAAGTATCCTTTTCGGCAAAAATCGACAATCATATACACGCGGTGGACTCAATCGATTTTATCACATACGATGTTACGGCTAAATCTCGAATTCCAACTAATCGTGGGAAATGACTAGTAGCTCCGGCTATATGTACACACTAAACTTCCTAGTACACGTTACTAAAATATCACATGATTTAATTGTTACTTTAAGGTACTCTCGTACTTGGCGATCACGTCCTTAAAAGAATGTGCACGTCCCGCGTTCCCGATCCCGACGTTTATCAGGAACGACAGGGGGGAAGAATCGCGACAGTTTTCTATCGACTATCCGAGAGAGAGAGTAACCGCCTCTCCGCCGGCTAATTCAACAAAGCGGCGGTGGCTGACTCGAAGTCGTATTACCGTCTGCAAAATACAATTAATACGGTAACTAAGAGTAACAACGCATTCCGCTGTAACGTTCCGCTGTAAACGAGATTAGATTGTCCGCGTAGTCACTATTTAGCGTTATTACGCTCAAACGCAAACGCTACGTCCGGCGGTGCTACCGGTGGTTTAATTCGGGGCGTACTTTCATTCGTTCCCATCTTCCAGGGCGTAGGGACAGCCGAATTCGGAAAGCGGCAAACGGCCACGAAATTACTTTTCCCCGTGCACTTCGCGCTGCGGGCCGCGTCTCCGCGCCTCGTGCCGCCCCGGTATAGAATAATCGTTTGGCACTGCGTCGCTATTGTATCGCGATTCGAGTCACGATTGTAAGCAGCACACCGGCGAGGGACCGCGCGTACCTTCGCGAGCTCCATGCAAACGCGCCGGAGTCGCGAGGGCGTCGAAAATTCTCGGGATTGCCGAGATCTGCGAGATTGTTCAAAAATTGCGAAATCCGGCAACTCGAGAGAGATTTCAGCTCGATTCTAAAAACTACCGCAAATAAGCGAAACAACGCAGTCGTTGTAATTGAATTAACAAGCGATATGGCGTAGTTCGAAACTCCGTTAAGTTTTAGGCGAAATTTTCGTATTATCGAAATTACGTCGCCGTAAAAATAATTTTGGAGGAAACTCATCGAATTATTGGAAGCAATTGTTATCAATCTCGGAAAAGACTAATTATGACTTAATCATAATTAGCGTTCTCCAGAATATTAATACAACATTATTTGAATTATATATTAATATAATTGGGTTAATATTACGTTAATGCGACACTTGGATGTTGTTCGGATAGTAAAAAGTGCGGAGACACCGAAGGAGGCTCCGGTCTCCGTTCCAAGCTCGAAAATCTCGGCTCCGATTTACGACGAGGCGCGATTTGCCGCTTTCCTCGGTTATCAGTGGCGACAGTGGAAGTGGAAATGGAACGGCAGTGGGCGGACGACGTTGGGCAGTTAAGACTAACGATCGGGGCGTCAGGCGTCATGGAACTGTTTTCTTTAATCTCCTAGCCCGCGCTCCTCGAGCCCGAACGCACGAGGACCACGTATATACGTCCAGCTTATTAGGGCGGACGAGTGTATGTATACATATACATACATATATACATATATAGGTATGTATGCATGTATGTATGTATGGCGAAACGGCGAGAAGTGGGAAATGAAAAGGGTGCAAACGCGAACGAAACGCAGTTCCCGCGTCTCGCCGCGAATTCTCGTTGACATTCGTTGGACACGTTCCTCTTAATAAAATCTCGACACGATGGCCGCACCACCCGACCACGGACGACACAGTATCATCTAATCGTTAAATTACATCTTTATCGAGACGGTATAATAATACGGTATAGTAATTACGGACTAAATTGGCCTATCGCAGCACCGGGCCGGTCTTGGAGGGAAATTGAATTTTCGCCCGACGGAATAGATTCTCCTTTCTCTCGCTATTTTTTCTCCCTTTCTCCCTTCCTGTTTCTAAACACTTTCCTTTTTTTTCCTTTGGCACGGCAGACATTAGCTGGCAATCTAGAGCTCCTCCCTATTCTTCACCTCCTCGTCGTTTACGTCCTTACGTCCTTTTCGTCTCTCGGGTAGAAGGTACCGGCCGGCCGGCATCTGGCGATCAACCCTATTCGTTAGATAGCACCTTCGTTATTCAACTTCGTTTTCGCGTACTTTCGAGAGCGCGCGAAAGTACACAGAGCAGCAAGTACACTATACATCACTTAAGGGCTAGGTAAGTGTTTCTGACGGGTAAGTGGAGGGATCCGGTCTCGTAAATGATCCTTCGGCTCCGCGCGAGTAAGAAACGCCTCTCTCTACGTCCCTTCCTCTATTTCCCCCGCGATGATAACGCACGATCGGACTTGGTTTATGAAGTGGTCGGAAATTAAAGCTACTTACGAGACCGATTCCAAGAGAATGAGCCGGCCACTCTCGTTTCGCGGCCCAGCGCACAGCTGGACAGCATCTCGTTATGTATATGCATATATATATATATATATATATCGCGCATATACACACGTATATAAATACCTAAGAGAGCGACTAAATGGAGAGGACTTTTGTAAGGACCGAATATAGACCGTGCAACAAGACGCCACTTCGCGGCTCCCGACGACGAACCTAAAATCGCGCTGGTGTCTCCGACGTAGACGGGAGAAATAAACGATATATATTATTGCTATCCGCATCATCAAGGAAAGGATTATTCGTTCGTTCAATCGGGAATTCAAAGGCACCGGCAACGCTTTCCGGGGGAGGTTTCGCCCTCCCGATCGGTGCCAACGTCGAACACGTCGTTTTACGCATCCGCGTAATCATCCGATACGAGTCGCAAAAGCAACTGTTCGACGAATAACTTAATCCTCTATGGACTCAATTCCATACCGAATCTCAAAGCAATATACGCGTCCTAGCCGTAGCGCATTCCTCTATTCAAGTGCACCTCGGAGATTCTCTATTTAAAAACGACCGTAAGATGTAAAATATAGTTGTACCTATATTTTTTTTCTCTCTCTCTAACCAAAGCCTCGAGCGAACAGGATTGCCGGCCCTTACTCTTGGAAAACCGTGTAATTTCGCCTATAGAGGATTAATAAATATCAAAACGTATGTTGCACACGCCGCGCGATTTTTATATTTTGTATAGCACATTGATACTCGTAATCTTGATCCCTTTCGCCGCGATAAGCTTGTATACGCGTATTTCGTATTTTTTCTTTCCCTTATATTAACTCGCGGGCAAAAAGTAGATTAATAGAACTCTGGCTTTTAAACAGTTTATCGCGAAAAGTCGTTTGCACGCATTTCATTAGCACGATCGAGGGTGTATATCGTGGGACTCTAATAACTTACTTTCCATGTAAACGTGGATGCGCCACGCACATGCCAATTGCCGAGAGGGGTAGTTTTCGTGGCGAAAGGGCTCGACGAGCGCGCGCCGACTCACCTTCCTAAGAACCTGGGAGAATTTATCTCGACGCGCTGAGGAAGTATTTAATTCGACGAATTTACGCAGTCCCTAATTTCTCATCGAGTTCAATTCAACGCTCGATTCTACCCCCCCCCCCCCCGAGTCCAAGATCCATTTTGCCCCTGTTCCTCGAAAGGTGAGCCCACCGTTGGTCGAAGTCGTCAATTCCGCGGAACGCAAATCGATTTCCATCCGCGTAAAAAAAAACAAAAAAATTTTTTAAAAAAGGAAGAAACCAAGAGAAACCAGATCCGCCGACGTGTTCGCGTCTGCACGGAGCTCACGTAGAGGGGAAATTATCGTAATCGCACGCGGCATCGCCATCGCGAGTTATATTACACGCCGAGTACACATCGAGATTAGCTATTACGTTACAAATATATCACTTTGTCGATGGAGCACGAAGACGAAGAAGACAACAAAAGGAAGCCTCCTGACCGTCGGCTCTCGCCCGCCGCGTCGTTGCGCTCTTTGGTTTTCGTTCTTTCTCATTCTCTTCTCTTTTTGGTATCATATCCCTTATCACAAAATTAGCCTCACTATCGCGGCGCAGAAACCATCGTCGGGCTGGTGGTCGCTTTTCACATTTTACTGTATCCCGCCTTGTCTCCCCGTAATTGACGCGTCTTGTTGGGCCGGCGGCGATGGATAGATGCGGTCCGCTCTCTTTCTCTTCTTCCCTCCGCTTGTGTCTGTCTTCCCCTCGGTAGGAGCGACTTGAGCGGTTTCGTCCGACGCTCTTATACTCTGCGCAAGCGAGAACGGTTTTTCCGTTCGGCAACGATCAGCGGTGTACCGTTACGGACTCGAGGTGTGATCTCGCGTACGGTGAACGATCGAATTGCCCCGAGATCTGGATTTTAACGCGCGCCATCGAAACGGGTGGAAATGAATTAGAAGCGAGGGTTATTGCCGTTACCGCCTTGCGGCACTTTCCCCGAGTCGGAAGCGAATTTCTTTCGAGTAGCGTTGTCGGAAAGGAACAATGGGCGCTATTGCTTCGTGTATCGTAATCTTGTATAAGGTCAGCGCGTCGTTCGATTCTCGGCGTATCGTACCGCATCCCACATTGTGCAATTACGTAAGATCAACCCTCGAGTCGGCCCGCGATGCAACGGCCGCGCGGCGTCAACGCGCGGAGGGACGTGCCGGGGAGAAAGAGGCACGTCGTCGCGTTGCCCTTCGGCTCCGAGGAGGCCGAGGCGGCGGGTGGGCCGAGTTGCGTTCGCGTTAGCGCTGGTGGATGTGCGTGGTGAGATGCTTGGAGAGGTAGTCAGCCCGGGCGAAGCACTTGCCGCACATCTCGCAATGGTACGGGCGCTCGCCGGTGTGGATGCGCAGGTGCCTCGTAAGGTCGCTCTTGCCGCCAAAGGCGCGGCCGCAGAACAGGCAGACGAACGGCCGTTCGCCGGTGTGCTTGCGCACGTGCAGCTTCAGGTTCTCCTTGGACCGCACGCACTTGCCGCAGAACGGGCAGGCGAAGCGCCGCTCGCGACGATCGGCCTCGCGAGTGACGCTCCGCGCGAGGCTGATTATCGCCTCGTTCGGCTCGTGCCGATCGTCGTCGACGACGTTGTCGTCCACGTCGCCGGCCTCGCTGCTGGTGGCACCGCCGCCACCACCGCCGCCGCCGCCGACGCCGCCGCCGCCACCGCCGCCGCCGCCACCACCGCCGCCGACGCCGCCGCCGACGCCGACGCCGACGCCAACCCCGCCGCTCCCGGCGGCGGTGGCTTCCGTTATCTGCACCTCTACCGCGTCGCCGGGATTCTCCTGAACGCTCGCGGTCTCCGAGACGCTCTCGTCGCCGCGGGCGCTCTCGGAGAAGACGCCGCGCATCTCCTCGGCGTCGCCCGGATTCGTCGTGGTGTCGCTGCCGGTCTCCACCTGGGACGGCTCGCCGGTGCTCGAGACCTGATCGCTCCGCTCGGCCGGCGTCGAGACGACGACGACGCTGCTATGCGGCTCGGGCGCGCGCTGCAGCCGCTCGAGCGCGTGGTTGAGACGGTGCTTCTTAAAGGACTTTAGGTACCTGAACTGCATGCCGCACACGTCGCAGGTGAAGAGCTTGTCGGCCGGCAGCCGCGCGCGATGATTCTGCTCGCGGTGCTTGACGTAGGCGGACCGGTAGCGGTAACGCTGGCCGCACTGCTCGCAGGTGAACGGCTTGTCGTCGCTGGTCTGGCCGGCGTGTTGCAGCAGCGCGTGCCGCTCCAGCAGCCACGGCGACGGGAACGTCGCCAGGCAGACGCCGCAGCGGCGCGCCAGTCCGGCCAGGCCGGTGAAGCCGCCGTGGCCGAGGATGCCGCCGCCGCCGGCGCCTCCGTGCGCGCTCGTCCGCTCCACCAGCGCGCCCCATCCGCCCGCTTCCAGTCCGAGAGCGAGCGAGACCTGCGACAGAGGGGAAACGATTATGGTACGTTGCGCCGACGTACGACTTCATCAGCCTGCGACCCTCGAGCAACCCGGACGTCGCCGTTTATCGCAAGCGCAATTTGCCTAATCCAAATCATACGTAAAACGATTCCGGCACATTCGGCAGCTCGACTTGAGTGATTTCGCGCTGGAAAAAAAATCTTCTCTCACCTCGTCTCGTCAACGTGTGGCGAGACACGGCGGGTCTCGGCGGCAATTGTTTCACGGTCGAATGGAGCATTTACCAACTATATGCACTTACCCTTTGTATCGCGCGGACGCGGCTTATGATAGCGATAAACAATCCCTACGGCATAGCGTCGCTCTGGGTTTCACGCGAGATTGGATGCGCGGCGGGGATTGCGGTGCCGCAGCGGTGACAGGCAAGAACACACACATCGTACGCACGTGACGTATTGTTAACACAAACAGTTTGCAGCTTTTATTTCACAAATTGTTAATTTACAACTATGATATGCATTCGTTCGTCTAAGAACCGAAACAAACCAGTTTTTTTTAAATTTACTTGTTTTCCTTTTTACGCCAAGCCAAATCAGTTGTGGCTATCCGCTATGATCGGGACGCGATGTCGATGTCGATGGAGCTTTACGGACGAGAGTGGGTTTGGTTTTGCTTTTTTTCTCCCCCTCCCCCCCCTTTTCCGGATATGGGTTTTCCTTCGCGGAGTTTCTAAGGGATGATTTCTGCCGATTTCGACGAAACGTCCGACTCTTGCCGACACACAGCTGAAATGTATACGTGTACACAAAGCGTTTGCGCGCGTCCCGCGCGCATAATGCGCGCCGTTAAATCAGTCAGCTCACAAATCTCACTTCGCGCGTGTGGCTGCGACTTCGGGGGCTTTGATTAAAAATTCCGTGACATTCAATTTCGGGTAATTTAAAACCAGACCTCACGACAATCCATCTGCCAGAATCCGCGGCACGGAGCGAAACGTATCGGATGGACGCAAATGCTCTCGAATTATTCGCTCGCTCGCGTCCACCTTACACGTCTCTGGTAACGTCTCAGTTTGCGCGCGAATTAAACAATTGGACGCTCGATTACGAGCTCGGGGGCACGGCGCCATTTTTGACAATACCTTTCCATGTCTCTCTTCCCCCCCGCGAGTCGTTCGCGATAGAGACAAGTGCGCGCGATGCTGTTGGATTTCCGTTTGCACTGTGCAATTTTCAATCCGATAACTCTTCTCGCTCGAAATAAATGTTTTTAAATTAAAGATGCCTTTTAGACATGCGTGCTGTATGGATGAATTCAGCAATGGCGGCCAGTACTGGCACAGTACAGCTGGTATGTCCACTCTGTCGTTTGTTTTGCGTTGCGTCGATCCTTTGCGCGCATCCGCCATTATTTTGGTGGAGCCAATGAGACGGAGGTTGTATACGCGGTAGTGTGAAATCTGTGTGACAGGATTTTATGCCAGAATAACGGCGGAATACCACGTGATCGGAACCGAAAACTAATTAGGCTTACACTCGACCAAAACTGGCAACGTGTTTTCAACACAGAAAATTTATTGCGAAAAATATCACCTCAGCCAGGGTTTGAACCTGGACCTCCCTACGCTCTAGGTGCTCTCTAAAATTTGTGGAGTGAAAATACTGCCATGGAGTGAAATGTTTACTCCGTTGGAGTTAATATTCACTCTGTTGGAGGAAATATTCGCGCCAATAGGGTCAACATTTCACTCCATGGCAGTATTTTCACTCTACAAATTTTAGAGAGTGGGCGTCTTAATTATTGTTAGCCCTGAACTGGCGCCAAAGAATTCTTGACGAAACCGAAAAGATCAAAGGACCGACAGCGAGTGGGCGTACCAGTTATACTATGGTACTGGCAGCAGCACCGAGAAATGGAAACACCCTGAATAGTCGCATGAATAATATAGCAACAAGAATTCGATGAAAAATTGTTAGATACAGACTCGGCCGTCGCTCGTCCGTTGCCTAATCACGTACGAAGTTGACATCACGTCGCTCCGCTATCGCCGAACGGCTCGCGCAGAAATAAACTAGGATATCCGAAAACGAGATGTATTGGTCGGTTGGTCGGTAGGTTTTTTTTTTATTTCAGCGCAGAACGAAGATCGCGCTTCGATAACTCACATACGTGTCCTATCGCAGCCCATAATATCTAAGATCAGCAAGGTCGCACTCGGGAGTTCCGAGTATCACGCGATATCGCACACGTACAAGGTGTTCGAAAAGCAGAGAAGAGCAAACAGTACAAACGACTTAAAAATATACCGACGTACTCGACAGATGTAAAAAGTCGTGCGAGCGTCTTGAGAGCATCTTAAAAAAGAAAACCAAGATATATATCGTTAATTGCGCGTTAAAAATACAAACGTGATGTTTCCATCAACGTGATAATGTTATCGGCGACAAAAAGTAGTTTGGTTCGCGATGCCGAAATATTTGTGCTCAAAATATTTCTGCGTATTCCCCTTCTTCGTGCGTTTCTTGCTTTGATATAAAATTTTTTAAAAAATTCAATAGACACGATCGCGTAGCGTACATGGCGAAAAATTAATTCGCTCAGCCCGGGATAAAATTGCAAATAAATCGCGTGATTTGTTGCAGTGTCGACGAACAATACGTTACACATTTTTGCCGATATGCGACTGCGTTTTTATTTTCGGCGTTTTCTCCCTTTGCTCTCCGAGCTTCAAACTCGACGGCTCGACAAGCTGACAATTTAGCGAATCTTAATTCGTCGCCGTAAGAACTCGGGAGCTCCAGAGTGCGGCCGGGCAAATCTCGAAACAAGTAATTGAGGTATTAAACGTTTGATTGCGTCGCCTTTGTGACGGAAAATTAAAGACGCTTTCGGCATTGTCAATTAAACACGTCTTCCCTCAAGCGCGAAAAGGAGAAGAGAAGCCTCGGTGGACGCTGCCGCGCTAAGCATCGAGAGTTTTTACGTTTCTAAAAAGTTAATTTTATTCTGAGCTCTGACAAGCGCAAGTTATATTGCTCTTAATTTTCCGCGACAACTCGGTGCATCGGAATATCGAGTGCACATTGTCGAATGCATCGCGGAGAGATCGTAACGGCACCATTGGCGTTTGCGTTCCGTTTACAGCTCTCCCGTATCCGTTCTCGCAAAGTCCGATAATCGAATTACTAACGCCGCGAGATAGTTTCGAGAGTCTCGTCGCAAACAAACATTTTCTCGTCGGCGCTCAAATTCCGTCTCTCGCTCGCTCGAAGAACAACGCTCGCTTTTTTTTGCTGACAAACTATGTGTACACTACACATTTCCCTCTGTCTTTCAACTTTCTCTCTCTCTCTCTTTTACACACTCATACACACACGCACGCATACTCTCTCGCGCTCGCTTTCCTTTTTCTTTTTGTCTCTTTCTCTCCCTCTAATATTCGATAATCAAGCGAATGGGCGTGGGTGCTTGGTGTCGAGATGTGCTAAAGTGGAATGGCATGGGCATTCGATTCCTTAAGGGTCCGGTTACATGTTGTTACGCTTTAACAGCACGTTATTAAATCCTGGAAAAGCAAAATCTAAGACTCTGGTTGGCACAAAACGAAACGAGTAGTGGTTGCCGCGGGTATCCGGCCGCGCCGCGCCGCGCCGCGTCCGCGCCGCGACGCGACGGGCGTGCGGGCGGCCGGGCGGCCGGGTGCCGCGACGAGTCGTTACAAGTATGAAAAATATTCCGGTAACCATTAACACCGTTTAAAAAAGTTATTGCATCTGGGTAACCTATGTTGTATAGGTACACGTTTCTCTTTTATCGTATATTGTACAAATATTGTTGTAAGTCGGTAGTACAAACGTTACTGTAGAAAACATAACAATTCGTAGGTTTCGTATGTCTTTCGTATCGTTATGGAAAGCTTAAGTGTTATACAATCTGTTAGTACTATATGCGACATTTTCGATCTACAGGGTGACTCCGAAAATATTGAACACTGCGTTGTCTCTGCGCGTGTGTGTACGTGTGTGTGTGTGTGTGGCTGTGTGTACGCATGTACATGTGTAGATGTACGTGTCTCATGCGCGATCTCTCTTTCCCTCTTTTCTATCCTCCGTATCCGCTGATTACCGGGGAATCAAAGAAACCGGGGAAATTGCACGAAAAATTCGATCCCACTGTAACCGAGCCTCGACAGACCGGCGGCGGCACTTCGGGAAAGCGCTGCGACGTTTAACTTTGCAGCGCCGGGAGGAAAGGAAGAGAACAGAGTGCGCGGAAAAGAAATGCCGTTGAATTAAAAAAACATGGAGTCGCTTGAATTGAACGTTAACGTCTCGCGGGCCGCCGCGAACATAAATAATTCACTCGATTGTATTTGCTGCGGATCTCAATTGTATAAGCGTCGAACTAAATATCCAGATTATTGAGACAGCCGTCTGATGTTTTTCATTTATCAATACCGATGTTGTCTCAACCATTTTATTCCAATTACACTGATCTCGCTGATACAACGTCATTTTTTCCCCCGTGTACGCTCGCTTCGTTCGCATTACACGCGACGCAAAAAAAAAAAGAGAAGAAAAGGACGTACAAACACTCTCGAATAATTTATACCTCACGCCGGTCCCCTTCGTACCGCGCGCGGCGCGGTGTTTCTTTCGCAAACTGTTAACGCGCGCGAAATGCACGCCCGCGGAAGAAAGTGACGCGGAAATGCATTCGTGGATCCCGGACTATGTGCTTACTAAG